TGCACCTAATAGAAAAAATAATTTTTTTTTTATATTACGAGCCGGAAATTAAGCAGTGGCCCGGGACCCCCAATTCTCCACATAGGTCCGCCACTGAGTTTGAAATAAAGAGCTTTTGTAGAGACTATATATATATATATATATATATATATATATATATATTATATATATATATATGGTTAAGTTCAAATGAGAACACTATTTAATGTGAGAAATGAGAACACTACTTTATGTTACTATTCTATGAATTTTGTATATACAATGATATGACATTATTCATCAACAAATATACGAACAATCACACATTAATATTCACATTAAAATTTTGTATGTACAACTTTATGACATTATTCATCACCGAATATACGAACAATCACATATTCAACATTCACATTAGAATTTACTAAATTACTACACATATATATATAAATTTTATAGTAGAATAGCAATATAAAATTGAACATATTCATATTATAATTACTACAATACTATACATATTAAATTCATAGTAGAATAGCAACATATAGTAGTGTTCTCACGTTCTCACATTAAATAGTGTTCTTATTTGAACTTAACCATATATATATATATATATATATATATATATATATATATATATAGTAATAAATGACGGACACCATATGGATTTGGTGGTTCCAAATGAGTTAAATTTTGTTGATTTAGACGTGTAGGAATTGTTATATTCTTATTTATAGTGGTGTGGTCTTTTTCGTTTGTATAGATAATGTAAATTGAAGCATGTTAACCATTTTGTGTAATTGTTGTCTTGCAAGATAGCTATGTTTTACCAATGTTTGTATAGTTGCATAAGTTATAACCAACTTATAAAGTATATTATAGTTATATGATCATTTCTTTTGCTTATTTTCTTCATAAACTTTAAGTAGATTGTTGTTTTTCACGTTAAATAGTTGTATATTGTACACTAAGCAGCTATTTTATAAATTGGAATTTTGTTTTTCCAAACCATTTGATGAAAGGTGTTTATGCTAGATAAAGTTTATATACTCCTAAAACATTTGATGATACTTATCTATATTACAATAGGTATAATAAAAAAAAAATAATAAAGTTTTGGACCTGATTTTGAAGAAGAAACTACAAACAGGACCGTAAATGTAGGTTAGTCTTACAATTTAAATAAATAAATAAGCTTATGAATTACATTGATATTACTTACCTATAGTTGCAATATGGTTGATTGATCAATGTACAATGTCTTTTATAAGAAATCATACCAAAGTATATTATTGTAATAAAAACAAATGGAAGTACAATGTTATAAAAAAGAAACATGGAAATTAAAGGACATTGCTATTACTTGCATTCTAGCCTAAAAACAAATAAACAAACCTTGGAAAAGTACAATGGTATTGGTGAATATTGTTCGTAAAAGGGTACTCAAGGAAATAAGTAGTTGGTTAAGAAAAATACATTGTGCTAACAGTTTGCGCATCCAGAGGCTCAGAGTGTCAGAGAGGCAAAATCCTCTCATCTCAACCATGTGGTAACGGCCTTGAACCCCTAAAACAATTGGGTAGGATTTTCAATGTGTTATATACTAATAAGGAAATATTGAAAGTAGAATGCTAAAATTTGGTAGATTATTCAAAGTAAAAATATAAGAAACTATTGAAAGTAAAATGCTATAATTTTATAAATATTTAAAAGTATATTGTACTAGTAAGAATAATAATGAAAGTAAATTGTCGTTATTGGGTAGATATTAAAAAGTACAATGCCTTACGCTAATTGGAACTACAACTCTGCCATTTACAGAAATGGAAATAGAATTCTTAGCCCTAGTCCCTGTATATTGCATAAAGCAAAATAAAAGTAAGTAGCCATGTATATTGTCACACCCCAAAACTAAGAACGGTGGAAACGTTCTGGGGCGGAGGACGTCATGTAAAGTATCACAACACAGTAAATGTAAATAGGCAAACAACATCATCCATTGCATTAAATATATAATTATAATACAAGCGTGTTCTGTACAGTATAGACACCAAAAATAATGTATATCAAAATAATAAGATGAGTCTTGGATGCGCTCCATCTTCTCAAAAGCTGGCCTCGGTACCTGTCTACTGATGACCTGAGAATACAAGTTATTTTGATAGCGAGTATCAACATTAAGCTGGTGAGTTCATAAGTATTTTAGTGTCGGTATTTGTTATCCAAAAACGTTTGAACATATCTCAAGTGTAAGTTTGTAAAATGTAAGTAAGTGTTTGTACAAGTTTGAATCTCTCAGAAAAACCTATATTTTCTATTAGAGTAGCCTTCTACCAAGGCTTAACAGTTTTGTATGCTCGTTTGTTGTAAAAGTGGGTAATTTTCTCAAGTGTAACTATCATTTTCAAAATATAATTTGTACAAATTGTTTCACTTCAAAATGTTTTACAAACTCTTTTACTTATCAAATACTATTATTAAACTTTGTTTTACTTCTTATAAATTGCATGCCCATATATGTATAGATATATAAGAAATGTTTAAAGGGCTTAGGAAGGCCATCCGCCCTATTTCCTTTTCGCACTTGAGATGTGGTCTGGTGGGATTTCGGGTAACCATCCGAAGGTCGTTTCAATATTAATTATATATCAACTATACATATATAGACATAAAAGTACTTCCATATTCATACTTATCAGTACATCATTAGTAAGTTACCATCGGGGTAACACAGGATCATATCTAGTCCTGTTTCCTTGTTAGGTAGCTAGTTAAGGACATTGTGTATAAACATTTGAGGCTAGAAATCATTCAAGAACACTTAGGTTTTGGAGTTTACGCCCCAAGAACGTTCTTGGGCGGTAAACTCCCGGATCTTACGTATTTGACATGAAATCAATGTTATTAAGCATATAACAAGCATTAAAACACATCTAGGAAAGTAGACTCACGATTTGGGATGAAAACCCGAAGATCCGTGAGAGAGAAAGTGGCTTTTCTCTAGTTGGAAATGTGAATAATGAATGAATTTAGTTCAGAAATCTATTTATAGTCCTGAAATATTTTGACAGAAAATATTTTTATTCCGGAAATGATTTCTAATATATCTGAGTGTTGGAATAACAGTGTTGCACAAAACCGTAGCGCATCCACTCTCCTGATGTTTACTGAAGTGTAAACCCTAAATTACTCCAACTTATACGAAAAGTCTGAAAATCGACTATGACTGTTATAACTTCTATTGAAGTGATATTGTTTGTATAGAATGGAAATTTCGGGTTGTCAGATATATTGCATAACGAAAGTAAGTAGTACACTAAGGAGAGAAAACAACTTATAGATATGGAAGGATTGAAGGTGTATACATCTACAAGAATTGAAAACACTTTAGTACATACCTAAAATCCAATATATATATATATATATATATATATATATATATATATATATATATATATATATATATATAAGATTATAATCATAAACAATAGACACAAATAGAAATATGGAAGAAAAATCAGGTTAACTAAAGTAGGGGTAGATAGGGTTAACTGTTTCAATCACACATCTATCTTGACTAATCTTGTAGAAGCTTTGTATTTATAACAATTACTTGCAACACATGCTAAAGTTCTTGCTTGGCACTCTCAACAAGGTAAATAATTAGGTACGTACACCACATAAAAGAAGTTCATTTTGTTTGTAATAATTAGAAAATCGTTTCAAAAAAGACCTGGAGGAGAAATGTGGGACTCCAAAATATATAGGGGGTAATACGAGTCTAGCTGACATAAGACTACACCAAAAAGAATGAAAAATGGCATACATACCACTTTTCTCCACTAGCTTCCGTGTCGGCAGAAAACTTATATTCATAATCATGTTCTCTTTGTCAAAAAGATCCAACATTCTCCTAACCAAATTGATTTTAAATTCTAGTTAGTCATGGTAGGCTACAACATGCAAATACGAAAACTATACCTAACAATCTGTGTATGCGTGTCGTGTATTCGTGTCAGACACGAATTTACACGACATGAATTTGTTAAAGATGAACACGACACAAATTATAAAACGTGTTTAGGGTATCAAACACGAACAGAACATGTAAAAAATTTGTGTGACACGTGACACGACACGAATAGACACGTTTTTTAGCTGTGTTACACGAAAAAACACAAATAGACACGTTTTTAATGATTTTTTTAAGCTAGGGCTATAAACAAATTATTGACTTTTCCAAAATTAGTCCCTAATATATTATAAATATAAAATGTAACCCTAAAGTATATATGTGTATATATGTGTTTATACGTGTTTGTACGTGTCACATGTCAACACGAATTTGTATCGTGTCTTATACATGTCTAAACAGGTAAATTTGTGTTTGATACATGTAAGACAAAAAACATGAATTTAAAATACGTGTCAAACACGAATAAACACGAAACACAAATTTCTAAAACACATACATGGAAAACTCGTATTGTGTTCGTGTCGTGTTAATCGTGTCGGGTATCAAATTGTCAGGTCTAAAGAACAATTGATATAGTGTCGAAAGTGAGATCATTTTCAAAAAACATGATATCTCACAAGCATAATATTTTAGTTTCTCATTCACTTCTGATACAAATCATAATGTAAAAGGGCAAATGAACCAAAGCTGCTACATGCATAATCTAGAAGAAGTAAAAGGGTATATTAAGAATATTGCTAAAATCGGTTAGAGAGAGAGAGAGAGAGAGAGAGAGAGTAATAAATAGGGAAGATGATTTCATTTGTGAGTCGTCGAGACTTTTGATATTTTGATACATTTTGTATTGGCTCTCAGCCTTGTGGCTGTGAGAGAGGGGTTAGCCCCGGAACAATCAATTGATTGTGTTTATCTTCTAACTATTATATCATCTTCTTCTGAGTTTAGTTACTTTCATTACAATCATAATTTTTGTTCTTCATCATTGGTCCGACCTGCTACGACCTGCCTTTGTTTCACCATGTTTAATTTCAATGCGTTTCACAAAATGATGGATCGTGAACGGGAAGAAGCAAGAGAATTTCGAAAAGAGAGGTTGACTTGGATGAAGCAACGGGATCCTGAGTTTTTATCCAACATTAACAGTTTTCCAAATTCGATCGTGACGTTACTAGAACCGGTGGTTGATGATGCTCCTAGGGATACGTCTTCTGGAATTCCAGATTCCTCATGTACTTCTCCGGTAACCCATGTTCCTATGATTGAGGGTTTTGTGTGTTTCTCCGGTGGCAATTCCACTCCGAATACATCAGAAGAGGTGGAGAGTTTTCCAAGGGCGGTAAAGCAAAAGAAATTAGTAGAGTTAAATGGCTCTGATACTTTTCTAGTCACTACTGAACTGGTGATCGAGTGTTCCGAGTATTTACTAGATGACAATTCCATCCCGAAATCATCAGAGGTGGTGGAGAGTTTGTTAGGAACAGTGAAGAAGATTGATTACCAAAGAGCAGATTCAGAACACGAATCTCCACTTCGAGATTAATGGTACTTCTCCTAACTCTCTTCTTCGTCATCTCCAATTAAGCATAACAGGGTCTAGGAAACATGGGTGGAATTCGACATCTCCATTGGATTTGGTTGACGACGGTCATGACTGCCGCGACACAGAGTCGGAACGGGATTCCAAAACACCACCGACATTTTTGACACCACCATCATTACCGCCATCTCCACCTCCATGGTTCGAGAATAGTGTCAAGGGTCAAGGTCTCAAAACAGGAAAAAACAAACAAGTTTTTGAGCTTAATCCTCCGTGACGGGGAGAATTCCGGTGGGAAAGTTCCGAGAGCAGAAAAATCGGTGATAGAAGAGCAACATGCAATGGATTTCCATGTTGAGAGGTTGACAAAGCATCAACGGAGCACATGGGAGAAAGCGGTTCCGTTTAACAACGGTTTAGAATGGGGTTATCTAGGTTACCCTTCCAATGGGCTTAAAAATGAGAATTGGGTTCATAATTGTTGAATCGAAAGATAGACTTACTTTTAACGAGCCAACAAAATATAAGCTCACTAGTTAATAAGGCCTTTGATCAATGCTTTATTAATTGGAATGAAAATAATGATGTTTATCCTAATCAACTGCCATCCCGTCCCCAACGCCGGCAATGGATTAAGTGTTTTAATAGGATCGGAGAGTTAGATCGTCGAGTCGCACATAATGGAAGGAACGAAAGAAGAAGGACCTAAGTTTAAATGGTAGTTCTCAAGCCCGCCTGTCTCACCAATTTCATAAATGCAAAGAAGACTGCAATCCCTATGCGTGGGATGCTAATCAAGTAACAATTGATCAATTGTCAAAGAAGGTTTCTATGGGATCGTGTCAAATTTTGGAGTTCTTGGCGGTAAATCAGACTCCAAGAGTGGCAAACAGCTTTGGGGGAAAGCCGCCACCAAGAAGGAAAACCCACCACCAAGTCTTCTACATAATCGTGAGGTCAGGCTGACCGTAAGCAAGCAGGTACCCAGCTTTCATCGGTATCGAAATGACACCGTTTCAAGAACCCCCAATGTCATGTCAGGTTGATGTAGAGTTGGGGGGGGGGGGGGGGGAGTTTAAGCAGCCAAAAAGGTAGCTTACTTCCAAATGACGGAGGTGTGATTAAGCAGGCAAGAATCCAGCTTACAACCATATGACGGAGGCATGTGGAGTGATCGGTGGGGAAGCTGCTACGTACATAGCGTAATCTTATAGAAGAGGGTCTCACATATAGGTAAATGATATATATATATATATATATATATATATATATATATATATATATATATATATATATATATATAAAGAGAGAGAGAGAGAGCGAAATCATTTGAGAACTCATAGTTTCCCGAGAACTCGAGAACTAAAATGGATCGTCAGATTAAAAAAATTAAGAGCTAAGATCTTTTATGACACTTTTGTAAATAAACCGGAATAAAAACACAGGAGGGTATCTTAATAATATAACATAAGGGCATTCAGGGGATTTAAAAAATTAGGCCAAATAAATATACCAGATGCTAGTCTCTTTCTATTGCTCGTCCTTTCTCCATATTCTTCACCGACTCCATCGACGTCCTCCCTAACTACATCGATCATCTCCTTCCTCGTTCTGCCTGTAACGCCCACAGTCTAGGAGTTGTCTATCGATATCTGATTTTTTGTGCTTCCGAAGGCAGCGATCCCGAAACCCTAGCCGACAAAATCCATTCATGTATTCGCAAGTGAAGAGTTTCTCCAGAACTTCCTCATTTCTTCCGTGAGGTAAAAGAGAATAATGAGAAATTTCCTCCTATCATGAGGTGTAAGGGTGAATTGATTGGGTGCAGGGCTTTTGGTCAAGTGTATATGGGTATGAATCTCTCCGGTTTGTCGGCCTATCTTCTTTCTGAGATTGACCAGCCAGCTAGGTTGGTTTGGCTATTCTTTTCTATTGAAAAGGAGTCAGCTGTCTGCGCGATTCATCTTCTTCATCTTCTTCTAGGCTCCGTTGGACGACACGGCATTCTCGTTTCAATAAATAGATGTCGACCGTACTTGTGATGGTTCCCAAGGATCCAATATGACCACTTCACTTAGGTCTACGTTGCCACGATATTTTTCTATGGAAGCGGGCGGGGTGTTAGAAGTTCGGTCCGCTTGTTTTTTTGTCGTAGGGGAGGGATTGACCTTTCTAACGCATATTTGTTGTACCGGCATGGCCCCACTGATTTCTTTTCGATCGGAGCATCCAGCGCAACTTCTGGAGAGTTTCTTGTTGTTACACAAGTTTAAAATTTAATTTCATTTGCCTCCATTTTGGTGTTCTGATTCTTATTTGAGCTTTGATTTTGATTATTCTGTTTTCAAGTTTCAGTTGTTGTTAACTGTATGTCTAGAGAGAAGACTTCGGTTCGGATGCTATGTTTATTTAAACTAACTGTTACTGTGTAAGATTTGCTCTAGTGAGTCCTTGCTAGATTTAATTGATATCTACACAATATAATCTATTTATATGTGCAATTATTTTGTCAGATAGTAATTTTGTAAATATTTTTGATGTTAAATTTGTGCACCGTGAATAAATTATTCAAGTAAGTCTCATCTGTCTTGGTGGATGTTGCTAATTCGTTATACTGAAGGACAAAACAAGAAGCCATATATGACTATAATCAAGGTATTTCGGTTTGGTCTACTTTTTCTAAATCAAAACTTACATGGATACTTGATGTCTTGATCCATAAATTACATATTATGCAAATTACATATTATGCAAAAGATATTACTGAGATAAAAGATGGGAGTGTAATAGTGATAGAATAATGGTTTTATAGATCAAAAGTGGTTGAAAAGAACATAATAGATTTTCCAATTTTCTTACTCATTTCCACTTACGATTTTTTAATTGATTATTTTTCTTTTTCCAACAAAACTTTTTATTTTTCGTTTTGTACAAAGATAATTTCGAGAATACAATGTTAGGTCCTTAACACCAAACTGAGTTTGGCACTTCGAAGGTTGGCGATTTGACAAATGTTTTAGTCTTTTGTTGATTTTGTATTTCTTTATACTTCATTATCTAGTTCATGGCCGCATTTCAATGTGTCCAATATATTATTTTATCTTTCAGAAAGTTTTTTTCTATTATTTTTATTAATTTTTAATTTTTATTGTTTTATCATTATTTTTTATATTTAAATCTAACATATGTTTGACAATAATATTTGTACATGTATAAAATCAAACATTTTTCTTTTTCTTTTGTGAAGTGAGAATAAAATCATAGGGGATTTTAAAATGATATACTATTATTGTACGAGTTTTGTTCAAGATAATGTTATTTTGAAAAAGAAAAGAAAAAAAGAAGTTAAATTACATTAGATCATGTTTTATGGTTTCATCTAATATGCTTGCCCATATTGATTTCTTTTCGCGCAGATGTACCTTAAACTTTATTTTGTTACAGATTTCGTCCTTAATATACACAAAATGATTCATTAAATTCGGAAATTTGAAATAATTGGATTAGAATACACATACACAAGTGGCTAAAAAGAAAATTGGTAATTCACGTATGGATCAAATGTGATTCACATATAAATGACAAGCGAATCACATATTAATTACATGTGGTTCACATATAATTCACATATGAATCACATCCAATTCACATGTAAAACACATATGAATTATATGTGATTCACATATAGTTTGCATATAAATCACATGTAAATGATAAGTGAATCGCACATGAATTACATGTGATTCACATATAAATCACTAGTGAATCACATATAAATTACATATGATTCACATGTAATTCGCATGTAAATCACAACTAAATCACATATGAATCACATCGAATTCACATGTAAATCATAAATAAATCATATATGAATTACATCTATATGCACACATATATTTTGTGCCACTTTTCTTCGTTAATTTTTTTTAATATTTTCTTGTGAATTTCACATTTAAATCTTAAAAGATGCGATCACATGTGAATATCACATTAGATAATCACATGTGAATTTTACCTAATATAATCACATTTGAATCTTACATTATATATACATATGTTTTTTTGTTAGTGTTCTTGCATTAATTTTAATTTTGTGGTAGATTTGGAATAATTTGTGGAACATATTAAAGAGGTGAAAATGATAAATTGAAGAAAATATGGAAATCTTTACACAAAGAAATGATGTCACTTTAAATCTTTGTACCATTTTTTTTTTATATTTTATTTTGTATCGAATAATCTACTTGTACTATTGTGTTTATATATTAGTTAATAAAAATGTGTTTTTTATGAAAAATTATGCATATATCTTTCTGAAACTTTAAATAATTTAATTAAAAAATTTTGGGTTTTTCTAATATTCTAGTGCTTTTAAAATTTTAGTGATTTTTAAAAATTACAGCTTTTTAAAAAAATTCAGATTTATAAAAAAAATCAAGTTTTCTAAAAAAATTAAAAAATCTGTATTTAAAAAAAAACAAAAACTATTATTTTTATAAAAAAAAATCAGAAAATTTTGATTTATTATTTTAATTTTTATACTTTTTTATTAAAATTTCCAATAACACAAAAAATTAAAAACTAAATGAGATTAGTAAGATGATGTTCATATCCTTAATGAGTTAATTTTGATCTAATACTCCACTTTTAGTTCTCAAGTATTCGGAAAACTATAAGCTCTCAATGGATCTCACCCGTATATATATATATATATATATATATATATATATATATATATATATTATTATATTAAAATACATACTTAATAAAGTGTTAAATACAAATCATTAAACTAGATGTACAATGCATAAGTTAATTTACATGTTATCAATTGATTCATAACATGTAGTGTCAACCGTATTAGGATCGAAAGTCACACGGATCAGTTGGATATAAGACCATTATGTCCACCACTAACCATTATGGTGGTGTGTACCACGTCATCACCACTAAATATCACTATGCTTACGACATACCCACCACAAACCACTCCACTCCACATCATTTTTATTATTTTTAATTCAAAAATACAATAAGATTACATTTTTTTTAAATAAAAAATATTGAATTTTTTAAACTAATTTTTCATTAATTATAAAAATAAAAATACAATTTCAAACAACATTACTTTATTATTCTGGAAGTAAAAAAAGCATTACATTACTTAAATAACCTATAATTAACCAAAAAAAAAAAAAAAAAAAAAAAAACTAGTTTTCGTTCATGTTGAATTTGTAAAAATGTTATACGACATCTTCTCGAAGATTGAAACACGTTTCACTATTAAGCCTTCATAAGTGTAGAGTAATCCAGATATATCCCATCACCAAAGTAGTAACTGCAATTGTACGAATGTCTGTTCACCGTGAACGTCGTATTAGGTGTTTTGCCAGTCCAAAGATCGTTGAAAAGAGAAGACTAGCCAGGAAGTTTAATATCGTTGTTAGAACCCAAAACTCCAAAAACACGAATGCCATATCTACAAATCCTGATATGAAACAGCTTCTAGGATTATACTTGGTTCACTTATATCTCCTCGAGTGAATTGACCACACGATATAGTTGGAAAATTTTCCCAAGCCACACGCGTACAATCTAGACTACCAAGCATACCCAGAAATCCATGCCTCCCTTCATGAGCCAGATATAATATCTCAATATCATGTGGAGTAGGATTACACAAATATTGTTGGTGAAAAACCTCATACACACATGCACAAAACCAATCTACACAATTAATTGTTGTCATCTCGGATACTTTCAAGTATTCGTTAGATACATCAAACGCTATATCATATCCCAAGTACCTAAGCACAACCGCACACTTTTGTGTACTACTAAAACTCATTCTTCCTCTAGCATCAGGTTTTGTTTGAAAAAAATCGTAACAGGCTTCTAAAGCATTACTAATACATAAAAATATAATCTTATTTACATGGAAACGACGTTCGAACGAGTCCTCATTGTAAAGAAAATTATCGGCAAAATAATCGCATACCAATAAGTCGTGTGCGGCTTGATGATCACAATTAACGACCGCCCTTGAATGAGCAAAATTCGAACATCCTTCATCGTGAATGTGTTGCACCACCTTAAAGAAGGTCGAGATGAATTCTCCGTCATCATCCGAGTCGAAAATCTTAAAGGTGAGTGTAAATTTTGATGAAAGGTGAGTGTAAATATTTATGTATTGTGATTATATAGGTATTGAATATGAAAAAAAAATCGGACCATTGAACAGTCAAATTGACGAAATCTTCTCCTATTGGTCGTGCATATTTGTTGTAGCCACCACGAACCAAGATGACCACGACCCACAACGTGACACCGAGACGGTGTGCACTCTGTATACCGTATGGCCTAAAACTAAGAGTTGTTGATTGGCTGCTAAAATCCAATGGTCATCTTGCAATCTGATACCACCACAAACACATTCCATCCACTCTAATGTTTGAACCATTATCCCTCTAAAGGGGAGGTTTGAGA